CCGCGCAGAGCCCCAAAGGGGCCCGGCGGAGGCAGGGAAGCCTGGGCAACGTTTCTGGATGGTCTGGTGGGGCTACGCGAAGGGTCAACAGTTATGAATTCCGTTTCTGCGGTCGACTCTGGCAGAGGCAAGGTTGGTCCGTTCCCCGTAGAGGGAGGCTGCCCGCGACCTGCCTGCACGGAGCTGGTGTCAGGATGCGCTGTCGTCGCAGCACGGCACTGTTAGAAGGTGGGCCCCATCGAGAGTGATCCCAACCTCCTCCACCTCCACCTCCACCTCCACCTCCACCTCCTCCTCCTGATCCTCCTCCTCCTCCTGCTCCTTCTCCCTCCTCCCTCCCCCCTCCTCCCTCCTCCCTCCTCCCTCCTCCCTCCTCCATCCCCCCTCCTCCCTCCTCCCTCCTCCATCCCCCCTCCTCCCTCCTCCTCCTCCTCCTCCTCCTCCTCCTCCTCCTCCTCCTCCTCCTGAGCGCTTCAGCTGCGGAGCGTCGGGTGGCCATGGCCAATCGCGGAGCCGACGCCTGGGCGGGCGACGGCGCAGCCAGCGGAGGCAGCGAGTCGCTGGTCTACGTCCAGCAAGCCTGCAAGGAGACGGCCGCCCAGGTCCGCTTCGCCTTGAACTTCCAAGCCGAGCTCACAGAGCGCGTCTTCAGCACCCAGGACGAGTGGCCGGACATGCAGCCGCCGCCGCCGCGAGGCTCGAAGGCCCCGCGCATCGGCCTGCAGCTGGTCGCGGAGGAGGGTCGCCGCCACGAGCCTTCGAGGAGGGCCGAGGGGGGCTGGGCATGCCAGCGCGGCGGCAAGCGCGGCGCGAGTCGCCAGGCCCTCACTGACGAGCTGTGTGAGGGGCACGCAGCAGTCCGCCTGCCAGTGAGGATTGAGCCGCGGGTAATCACGGCGCACGGCCGTCGCCTCTGGCGCACGGGCCCCTGGGTCTGATGTGCGCGCTGCGACCAGTACGCCAAGACGAAGCTCGCGGGCCTCCTCCTCCTCCTCCTCCTCCTCCTCCTCCTCCCTGCTCCCTGCTCCCTGCTCCCTGCTCCCTGCTCCCTCCTCCCTCCTCCCTCCTCCCTCCTCCCTCCTCCCTCCTCCCTCCTCCGTCCCCCTCCTCCCTCCTCCCTCCTCCCTCCTCACTCCTCCTCCTCCTCCTCCTCCTCCGCCTCCTCCTCCTCCTCCTCCGCCTCCTCGTCCTCGTCCTCGTCCTCGTCCTCGTCCTCGTCCTCGTCCTCGTACTCCTCCTCGTCCTCCTCCTCGTCCTCCTCCTCGTCCTCCTCCTCCTTCTCCTCCCCCCCTCAGCCTCTCTCCTTTCCCGCCCCCTGCAGCAACGCTGGCTCCTTCCACGTGCTGCACATGGTAGCCGTGAGTGAACGCGCCTGACGGGAGAGGGGGGGGGCTGTCTTGGCCGCTTTTCCTCGCCCGGAACATAGACGCAAAACCCGCCCCTGGCCGGCCGCAAAAGAAACAACTGAGCGAGGATCAAAACCAGCTCTTACGCGAGATGGCATAGTGACCTTACGACGCAACTTACGCGGGCCGCCTTGTTTCGTCGCTCAGCTGTCAAAGCGCAAAGCCCGCTTCAGAAGTCCGCCCCGCTCTATGGATGCGAGGTGGGGGATTTATCGGTATCCATCGCCTGGGAACCAATTGGACCAACGCCCTGGTGCCCCAGCGGGCGGCGCACCCGGGCAAATATTTTGGCCCCTGGGGGCCCGAACATATCCATGTCCACCGCTTGTGGGGGTCCACGAAGAACGAACCACCAGGCGATGGTTCTGGATAAATCCCCGCTTCGGACTGGAGTTCTCCGTGCACTTCCGACTTGCGACGCCCTTGGCGCGATTTGTGCTGCGCAACCTGCTGGTACCCGCTGACGGCTATACCTTCCCTGGTGATGCCACGCCTCCTGCTTCTCCTTCGCGCGCCCCACCCCTGTCCACTGAGGGGCCCGTGCCTCCAGAGGCCCCCCCACAGCTCGAGCCCGGAGCCTCCCAGGGCGGCTCTGCTTGTGGATGCTATTTTTTCTGGCCCCGCGACGTGCAAAAAACAACCGAAGATGCAAAACCGGTGCTTCAGGGAGGGGTCGGGAGGCCCGGGGGCGACGAGAGGCCGACCGAGGAGCCCCAGAAGAGAGGGCGGGCAGTGAGCGGCGAGGGAAGGCAGACGAACTGTTGTGTGCTTCCCCTGGTGCGAACGAGCGGCCACCGGCGCGGACAGACGTCAAGGGCCTAGCTTCGCCCGGAAAGCATGGGAGACCGTGCACTCAAGAATGCGCTGTGCACCGTGCGGCTCGAGAGTTTGACAACGATGGAAAAATTGGAAGAGGTGGGAGACGTCATAGACGGGCGATTCCGGTCCAGGTCGAGGTCTTCGTCGTTGGTCTGGTCCTGGCCTACTTGCTCTGCCTGTAGACGCCGACGGTGCCAGCTAGCGAAAGGGGGCTTTCGCCCGTCCAGCTTTACTGCCGTAAGTATATCCTTGTTCGCACATACATATATACATATATATATATACAAATGTGCACAAACATGTTTTGATATGGTGTATATATATATATATATATATATAAGTCTAAACTAGAACCGTCGCGCGCGCTTCGCGCGCGCTCAGGTTCTAGCAGGCCCCAGACCTTGACGAATTCATTGCTCCACTGAAGTAGTGGACTACAGTCCACGCATGCCAATCTGCATTCCGAAAGGCCTTCGAGGAGAATGGTTGTGTGGGGGGGAGGCGGAGGCCGTATGAATCGGGTTCCCAGAGGGCCTTCTGGGAGCATGGGTTTGGGGACGTCTTGGAGAGCCTGTTGGGGCGTGCCGTCGTCGTCGTCGTCGTCGTCGTCGTCGTCGTCGTCGTCGTAATGTCGTCGTCGCCTATTGGGGCGCGCGGTCGTCGTCGTCGTCGTCGTCGTCGCCGCCGTCGCCGCCGCCGCCGCCGCCGTCGCGTCGTCGTCGTCGTCGTCGTCGTCGTCGTCGTCGTCGTCGTCGTCGTCGTCGTCGTCGTCGTCGTAATGTCGTCGTAATGTCGTCGTCGTCGTCGGCGCGCCGTCGTCGTCGTCGTCGTCGTCGTCGTCGTCGTCGTCGTCGTCGTCGTCGTCGTCGTCGTCGTCGTCGTCTTCGTCGTTTCGTCGTCGTCGATTCAAGAGGGCACTTGGGGCAACTTTGTGCGAAACGATCTGCGGAGGGCCGCGAGAAGGCGATCAGTCATGTTCCCAATCAACTTCCCAGACAGCTCTCCTGTAGCATGATGGTACTTCGAAGCCTCCGGAGACTCGCGGGCCCATGATGAACCATGTCCCCGGAAGGCTTTCTGGGGACATGGTTTGTTGGGGTGTGTTGGGGGGTCTCTTGGGCGTTCCCTGGGGGCCCCTTGGGGGCCTCCGGGAACTCTCGGGCCCATGATGAACCATGTCCCCGGAAGGTTTTCTGGGGACATGATTTCTTGGGGTGTGTTGGGGGGCCTCTTGGGCGTTCCCTGGGAGCCCCTTGGGGGTCTCTTGGGGCTTCCTGGGGGCCTCTTGGGCGCCTCACGGAGCTTCGTGGGAGCCTCTTGGTGGCCTCCGGGGGCCTACAGGCGGCCTCTAGGGCCAGAGACCTTGAAATATCGGTTGGCGGTCCCCCTCTGGGCCCTCTCTCGGGGAGCTGTTGGGGCACAGTTGGGTTGTCTGGGGAGCCTCCTGGGCCGTCTTGGGGCCCTCTTCCGAGCCTCGCGGCCCGTCTTGGAGCGATCTGAAGGGCCTCCGAGCGAGGCCGTGAGGGAGCGCGGGGAAGCGGGGGAAGCGAGAACGCCTAAATCCTTCAAAAACCATCGGAAAATTAATTAGTCTTGCCTCCCAGGGCCTTCTTGGGGAGCCTCTTGAGTCCGTCCTGGAGCGTGTTGGAGTCCTCGTCGGCCGTCTTGAGGGCATCTTGGGCGTCTTCGGGGCCTCTTGGGACCGTCTAGGGCCCTCTCGGGACCTCCATTAGCCTGTCATGGCCTGCTTCGGGGCGGGCCCGGGCCGCCTCGGGACCCCTCTGCGGGGCATCGTGGGCCTTCTTGGAGCGATCTGAAGGGCCTCCGAGGCCGTGAAGGAGCGCTGGAAAGCGGGAAAAACGAGAACGCCAAAATCCAAAACACTCGGAAAACGAGCGAATCTTGCCTCCCAGGGCCCTCTTGGGGAGCCTCTTGAGTCCGTCCTAGAGTGCCGCCCTCTAACTAGAGGCCTCCTAGATGGGGTCGGAGTAGATGGGGTCGAAGGATTTCGCCGCATTGCCAATGCAAAGACGACGTCGGCGTGGGAAAACACGGGCGCCACATCGAGCCGCATCGTCGATGCATCGTCGATGCGGCGCGATCCTCCGACACCACCTACTCGGACCCCATCTAGCAGGCCTGGAATAACCTCTTGCAGCTGTGGGGGATTGGAATCATCAATATCGCAGCGAGTGGTGAGGCCGTGTCTCCGGCAACAAGCACGCCCTAGCGACACGCCTGGTGGTGCGACGGGGAGGGTCTGTCTACAAGAGAAGGGATGCGAGAGGCAGGCGGAAGATGAGGAAGGAGGGAATAGAGGCCTCCTAGATGGGGTCGGACTAGATGGGGTCGGAGGATCGCGCCGCATCGCGGAGACATCGGCGATGCATCGGCGACGCATCGGTGCACTGGCGATGCATCGTCGACGTCGGCGATGCATCGGCGTCGTCGACGTGAAGCAAATCGGGCTGCACATGGCGCCGCATCGGCGAGGCATCGGCGATGCGGCGCGACCCTCCGACCCCATCTACTCCGACCCCATCTAGGAGGCCTGGAGGGAAGGAGGCTCCGGGGGAGGAAGAACGAGTCGAGGAAACTGGCAAGACGGAGGGAACAGAGGTGGAGGAGGGGAGAAGGGAAGCGGCAGGCGGGAGGAGGGAGGGGGATCGAGAGGAGGAGGAGGGCGCCCGCCGATGCCGGAGGCCTCGCTCACCCCGAGCGTGTCGGCGCCGCTTTGGTTCACGTCAGGGAAATAGAGCGGGAGCATGCCCAGGTTCACCCACGACCTCGCGTGCGAGGCGGGGACGTCTCCACATCCACCGCCTGGGAACCAACGTTCTGGGGACCCAGCGGGCGGTGGATATGGGTAGATGTTGAGTGTATATATATATATACATACATCTATAGACATATTGTTATATGGACAGGTTTGCTTTTCCCGTTTGCACAATCCTTCATTTAGACTTGATCATATCCGCTGGCCCCCTTGCGGGGCCACCAGGCTGCAGGCCGAAGGTTCACAGTTTCCTGCACCAGTTGCAGCTTCCAGTTTCCACTGTTACAGTTCTGCTTCTTGCTGCTTACTGTTCCTTGTTGATGGACCGCGCGAAGGGGGGGAGACCCAAACGGGCAGGCTTAGCATGCCCTGAGCGTGTTGCCTGAATTGCTGGGGTGGGCAAAAATTCACACCGCAGATCGGCGGGGTGAGGATCCAACAACGCAGGGGATTTGCCACATGTCTGACATTCGGTGGCACCCCTCACGCAGATCGGCGGGGTCAGGATCCAAAAACACATGGGATTTGCTACATTTCTAAAATTTGCTGGCTCCCCTCACGCAGATCGGCGGGGTCAGGGTCCGAAAAGGCAGAGGATTTGCTACATTTCTGACATTCGGTGGCACCCCTCACGCGGATCGACAGGGTCAGGGTCCAAAAACATATAGGATTTGCACCATTTCTCAAAATTCGGTGGCACCCCTCACACAGATCGGCGGGGTCATTGTCTGAAAACACACAAGATTTGTCACATTTCTGGAATTCGGTGGCACCCCTCACGCAGATCGGCGGGGTCAGGGTGCAAAAACATACGAGGTATCACATGTCGGAGATTCGGCAACACACCCTCACGCAAATCGGCGGGGTCGGGGTCCAAAACACATGGGATTTGCAACATTCCTGAAATTCGGTTGCGCCCCTCATGCACATCGGCGGAGTCAGGGTCGAAAAACAAACAGGTCCCGACACGGTTCACGGCGGCGTCCAGGCCTCATGATCTAGCTTGTGCATCTCCCACTGTCCGAGGAAGGGGGCCGGCGGCATAGGGGCGAAGCCCTTACGGAGATGCACATTAAAAAACTTGCCCTCACGAGGCCGAAAAGACGTCCCCGTCCAGGCCTTCGAAGGTCCGCGCCCCGCCAGCCCCCCCCCGGACCGGGAGAACTCCCCCCCGGGCCTCCGAGGAGGCGCCCCGGCGAAGCGAGGCGCGCGAGGGCGAGCTGCGCCGCCTTGGGCCGTGGGGGGAGGGGTGTGGCCTCCCTGGACCGACGGACCAACCACTTCTCCTCCTCCTCCCCCTCCCCCTCCTCCTCCTCCTCCTCCTCCTCCTTCTCCTCCTCCTCATTCCTCCTCCTCCTCCTCCTCCTCCTCCTCCTCCTCCTCCTCCTCCTCCTCCTCCTCCTCCTCATTCCTCCTCCTCCTCCTCCTCTCCAGAACTGTGACGTCGCATATTTTTCGTCGACCCCCAGATGTCTGGACCCCTTCCCTGGGGCCAGGCGTTCTCATCCTGGGCCGTTTTTGCTGACGGTCCCCAGGCCCGCCGAGGGCCCTGGACTGGAAGCCGCACAATGACAAAAACTGCCCGTCGTCCGTTCCACGTCGAGAGGTGGGGGTCCCCCCCTCCCCTCCATCCCTGGAGGCCTCCCAAAGTGAGGTCCGAGGAGATGGGCTGGGAAGATCGCGCCACATCGCCGATACATTGGCGACGTCGGCAATGCACCGGCGACGTCGGCGATGCACCGACGGCGTCGGCATGGAGAAAGTCGGCTCCACATCGAGCCGCAGCGCCGAAAGATCGGCGATGAAGCGCGATGCTCCAACCCCATCTGCTCTGTCCCCACCTGGGGGGCCTGGACTTAGAAAGTCCAGGGTTCGCTCGGGACTTGTGTCCCCCCGTATCAATCGAAACCATTCCGAAACCATCCGAAAAGCCTCCCAGAACGCTTCTCGCAAGGTGTGCCGAAACGTCCCGGGAGGGCTCCGCCATCCCACCCCCTTCCCCTCCCCCCTCCCCCCTCCCTCCCTTCTCGGCCACGCTCAATGGTGATCATGGCTACGAGTGAGCTTCGGTGCGTGGCTTCTGCCCAAACACAAGCGCGCCAGTCGCGCTCGGCCATCGGGGGGGGGGCCCGCGGAGCCCGCACCCAAAAGGCTCCTCCGGCGGAGGGTCCTCGAGGAGGAGGAGGAGGAGGAGGACGAGGAGGAGGAGGAGGGAGGAGGAGGAG